ACGGAGCACTGTGACCATAAACAAAGTTTTTCTGAGAATATTTATCCATGCTTGAAAGGATTAAGCTGCTGAAAGGATGTTTTTTCTTTTTCCTTGTTTTAATTAACAATGTTGTATAAAAGAGAAAAAGTAAAGGAGGTGCTCATTCCTACTGGCTGTGTGTGTGTGTGTGTGTGTGTGTGTGTGTGTGTGTGTGTGTTTCTTTCAGCATCTCTGCTGTTACAGCCCAATCAGGAACTACAGATTGTCAGTGGGTTCTGACAGGAATGGATCTTTGGTCATAGAATATACTGTCCCCCACCATCCTGGAGTAGTTGGCTTGATGAAATCGTGGCATAGCCTTTTAAGGGGAAAGTTGTCCAGCAAGCTGTATATGCTCTGAATCAGTGTCTATCAGTGCCATTCTGCTCATAGCCAGGATTCATGGGCCCAAGAATCAAGGGGGGGCTGGGGATGTGGCTCAAGTGGTATCGTGCTGCCCTGGCCTGTTCGAGGCACTGGGTTCGATCCTCAGCACCACATAAAAATAAAGATATTGTGTCCACCTAAAACAAAAAAAATAAATTAAAAAAAATAAGAATCAAGGGTAGAAGTGAGTGGCCCCACTTGGTACTATTCCCAGTGAACTACAAGAAAAATGTTTGCTCCTTGATCCTGGGAACAAGAATATTGTATTATGGGGGGCTGGGGTTGTGGCTCAAGAGGTAGAGTGCTTGCCTAGCATGCATGAGGCCCTGGGTTCAATCCTCAGCACCACATAAAAATAAAATAAAGATGTTGTGTCCATCTATAACTAAAAACTAAATATTTAAAAATTTTTAAAAGAACATTGTTTATATACAATTACATAATTTATAGTACATTTTATGTAATATTATATTTGCTGATCTTGAAGTCTTCTTTCCAATAGGAGGAATGCTTCTACAAGCAGCATAACAAAGATTTCCTTGAGCTGGAAGGTAAGCCAACCACTCAACTAGTTTGGGCTCCTCATATCCCTGAGTCCACAGGCACAGAAAGGAGTTGAGTGTTAGCAGTGTCTGCTTTTGACCACCAAGGGGAAGTTTGACAGCTGCTCCATAGTGGAGATGAGAGAGTGAAACACTGGAGATCCCCTAAGGTATCGCTTAGTATTATCATGTCCTGTTATTAATGTGGAAAACTATAGCAACCCAATTCAAATTGGACTACTAATGGCACAGTTTCAGGAACAAGAGTACGGGTCTCCCCAGGCAAAGAACTAGCTAAGGCACTTTGTCATGAACACCAACTACAAAGTGATAGGGAATGATATTGTCAAATTATGTTATACTGTGTATTGTGTGCATTAATGAATATGTAACAACGAATCAGTATATACAGCTATAATGCATTAATTAAAAATGTGTATGGGGGCACCAGCTAGAACGTGACCAGTTACAGAAAAAAAGGAGTATAATTGTCTTGAATATTTCCTCCTTATTTTGTTTGCTAGCATGTATCACACACATTATCAGATATCTTTGTTTTCATTCTTTGTTTTCATTCTTATCCTTTATTGTGCAGTATTTAAACATTAAATTTACATCACAGAATTTAAATTATAGGATATCAAGAAGAGTAAACATGGCCTGAGGATATAGTTCAGGGGTAGAATGCTTCCCTAGCATGTATAAGACCTGGGTCTTATCACTAGCACCTCAAGAGTTTTTATTAAAAAAAGAATAAACATCAACCACATACTTTTTGCATCCTCTTCTGGGAAAAGGGTTTGTGTTTTCAGTTATAGGTGTTGTATGTAAGACAGTTGTCATCATGATAGGTGAAAGTATTGTTATGGTCTGAGCTAATCAATGCAGTTTATAAGAAATAAATCATAGATTAGGATGAAAAGGTATAGATTAATAAAATAAAGGATAATAAACAAATAAGTGTCATAGCATTAATGATGTGAAGTTACCTTAGTATGCTGTAGTTGTAGGATAGAACATAGACATAGAATTTAATGTCTATGTAGGACATAGACATAGAATTTAAGGATGTTAGTGATAACACATTGACAATAAAAGATGACAAGTAAGTGTGTGTGCCCATAGGTTAAATCTAGTCATAGATAGTGACAGATAAATATAGGTTAAGTTACAAGATAAGTATAGCTAAATTAGACAATTATTAAATATAGGAGCTATTGTAGATAAGTACAAGTAAGCATAGCCATAGTGACTCCATTTCTACTCCATTTCTCTCATATGAACTATTTCTGAGAAATCAAAATGAAAGCTGTTCCTTATAAATTAAAAAAGATTGGTTTTTCTGTTCTTTGTACCCCACAAATGTACTCGAACCCAGGATATATGCCCACAGCAGTGCTCGAACCCAGGATGTGGTTATCTGTCTCTTGCTCTGCTGCCTTTTCAGCCTCTGTAGTCGGCTTGCTTGCTATCTGTGAAATTCCATAGGATGTTTTCTCCCTTAAATATTCAAGCCAGTCAGATGGAGGCTGTTCTCTCAAAGACCCGTTCAGCCTCTGTGGGAAGTAGTCCCCGGCCAGGTATTAAAGCTCTCCAGTTGTTTTAAATTTGGTCTCTGAGTATTTTCTGAGCAGCCTCTCTACTGTAACAGTATGACCTTATTACTGTCTATTTGGATTCTAGGTATGGTTTTAAGATGTCGAACTGCGAAGTTGAAAAAGATTAGAATTGTAATGATTACTGTATTGAAAAGGATTAGAATTGTAATGATTACTGTATCAACTTAGTGGATATTTTTGGATGAGATTAACATTTATTTATTAATTTGGTAAACTTTGGGTAAATCAGATTGCTCTCCATGATGTAGGTGGGCCATAATCAATAAGTTGAAGGCCTTAATAGAACAAAATATACTCTTTCAGAATAAGGGGGAATTCTTTAGCGATGGCCTTAGACTTTATCTGAAACATTGGCTCTCTTGGGTCTCCAGCCTGCTGACCCACAATGCAAATTTTAGACTTCCCTGCCTCCACACTATCATGAGCAAATTCCTTATAATAAATCTGTCTAGATATATATATTCACATCATATTACTCTATTTCTCTTGAGAACCCTAATACATCATTTCTCAAAAAGGTAAAAGGCTCAAATATTTGTTCTTCTTCACTACAAATTTTAGTGTCAACAATCATTAACAGGGGCTGTGGCTGTGGCTCAGTGGTAGCGCACTTACCTGGCATGTATGAGGCACTGGGTTCGATTCTAAGCACCACATAGAAATAAAATAAAGGTCTGTCAACAACTAAAAAAAATAAAATCATGTAACAGGGGGTGATAAAAATAGAAATTCACTGGATTATACAAAGGGGAATGAAGGGAAGGGTGGAGGAATAAGAAAGAATGAATCGGTATAACTTTCTTATATTCATATATGTGAAACTCCACATCATGTCCAACCACAAGAATTAGAATGTTATACTCCATGTATGTATGTCAAAATACACTAAACTGTGATATATATCAAAAGAACAAATGAAAAAAAAATCATGTAACATGTGGAAGACCAACTTTGCACGTGACTGAGTCACACTCCCTGGCTGGGTGCTGAGGTGCTCAGTCACAGAAATGTGGCAGAGCTTTCCCTACCCTTTTTGGTTTCCAGGGTCGGTGTCTCATGCATGGATGTGTCTTGCTACAGCCCCATGGTGAAGCTATGCTCACTTGTTCCTTTGTAATATAACCCCTTGCCATGGAACCATGGAAGTGCCTTGTGTGTGTCCCTTCTCTTACTGTGGCCTTAGGTGTGTGGCCTACCCAGATGTCAGTCAACCTGTTAACAATGAACATCATGAAGATAAGTCTCAGTCCCCTGAAACCTGACCCCTTGCCTCATTTGAATAGCTTCTCCTCAATAAAAGGGGTCAGTGTGTGTGTGTGTGTGTGTGTGTGTGTGTGTGTGCTTGCGCGTGCTCTCTCTCTCTCTCTCTCTTCCTGTGGAACCTTAAGGTCACAGCGACCCCAAAGAAAAGGTATTTTTGTCTCTTGTGTGCTTATATTGTGCAGCCCAGTTAGCCCAGTTTACCTGGAGTGACCCCTGAGCCTTTTAGTCGTGAGAACAGAAACCCAGCAGTAACATACTTTGGATTCTTGCATATAAACTTGCTGCATAACATGCCAGAAATGATACTGTCACACAACATAGAAGACAGAAATGATTGACCAAAGTGGAAAATGACATTCACAAGGTGAACATGTAGCATGGACCTACCATATTGTTAGCTGCAGGGTGGGCTGAACACTCCATCCCCATCCATCTGGTTCTTTATTGCTTGTTTGCCTCAAGGCTGAACACTCAACCCCATTCAAGGCTGAACACAACTCCCACCCATCTGGTGCAACAGAAACCCACATTGGGGACCCCTATCCGGTCTGCCTCAGGGCAGAAGATGATACCCTTAGCAACTACTGTATGATCCAATCACTGTATGCCAACAAGGCAGCTTGCAGACTCAGAGACCCCATTAGATTTTAGCTATAAAAACTCTTCCTGGGGGCTGGGGATGTGGCTCAAGCGGTAGGGCACTTGCTTGGCATGTGTGCGGCCCAGGTTTGATCCTCAGCACCACATACAAAGAAAGATGTTGTGTCCGCCGAAAACAAAAATAAATAAATAAATATTAAAAAATTCTCTCTCTCAAAAAAAAAAAACAAACCAAACAAAAACTCCTTCCTTCCGGGCTCCCTCCAATCTTCCTCTTGCACTTTGTCCCCCGCCCCTTTCTCTCTCTCCCTCTGGCTTTGCTCTCTCCCTTCCTTTCTTCTCTTTCCCTGTTCTCTTTTTCTCTTCCTTCCCTGTCAGACACCGCCAAATAAAGATCTCTTGGTCGCTCCAAGTGTCCTGGTTACTTTCCTTTCACATATGACAAGATAGTTTTGTTGTCATGGAAACATACTATAACAACAAAACCACTAGAAAAGCCACACAAAGGTGATGGTAAGCTTATAAAATCCCAGGTATGAGTGATTAAAGATGGCTGCAAATTCTTTACCTTTTCCCTTTTAGAAGTGAAGTGTAATTTACTTCCTCTCACATCTGAGCTGGCCTTAGTGATTTACTTAGTCAATTATCATGTGGCAGAAGTGACATTCTAGAAATTTTAAGGTGAGGTCACAAAGCTTGCAGCATATGCCTAGGGTTCTTAGAACATTCTCTGGCAACTCAGAGCTCTGTAGGCATTCTGGTTGCCAGTCCCAGCAGAGGCCAGGCAGAGGCCAGACTTCCCTCATCCCCACTCCCCACAAAGTTGACAGTGTAAATAACTTAAAGACTGCAGACCAGACCAGCTGAATTCTACCTGATGACCTCGGTTTACACCAACAGAAGATTATCTGGCTGAAACCTGATCTAATTTTTGACCACACAATCATGAGATTTAAGAAAGTTTGTTTTAAGCTAAGGTAGTTTGTTAAGCTTCGATACAATTCTGCCTACATTGTACTTTCTATCTACTCTTTCTCTTCTATAGTCCCCAAATTTCAATCCTAATTTAAAAAAAAATATTTAAGTATCTTTAGTTTTAGGTGGATACATTAATTTGTTTTTATGTGGTGCCAAGGATCAAACCCAGTGCCTCATGCATGCTAGGCGAGCACTCTACCACTGAGCCACCACCCCAGCCCCTCAATCCTAATCTTCTTAAAGCCTTCCTGTTTTCCCACATTAGGATACTTTTACCTAATAATGTGTAACTAGAAGAGTATTTCATTTGTTTGGAACAGTTCCAATTTGTGTTTATTTTTGATTGCTGGGGATTTAACACAGCCTCTTAGCCTATGTTCTACCACTGAGTTCTATTCCTCTAAAAAGTGTTTTTTTGTTTGTTTTTTTAATTTGTCAGTGCTAGAGATCAAACCTAGGGTATTGAATGTTAGGTTCTACCACTGGTAGTAGCTTTACCACTGATAAACCCTCAGAACCCAAAGTGTCCCATCTTGGTCAATAAACCATTTGGTCATTCTGTCCTTAATTGTCCTACTTGAAATAGTATAGAAATGTCTTCTCTCTAAACTATGTACAAGGTAATTCAAAGCAAGGATGTTTTTCTTTAAAAAATATCTGAGCACATACAATGTGCTACCCATCATGCAACATGCTGACTTGAATATCTTTATTCCCCAGTGCTTTGAGCAACAGGCTGTTAGGCCACAACACTTCAAAGTCCTGGGTGTTCTCAAGAATTTGGTAAGAATGTGGGCTGGGACTTGAGTAGTTATTTTCATGCTGTTTTACTATGGAAATAGTACACAGGCAGCACAAAGAGGATTCATATGGGATTAAGAACACATGATGTTAGGGCTGGAAGTATAACTCAGTGGTACAGTACATGCGATGCATGAGCAAAAATCTTCAGCACCAAAAAACAAAACAAATAATGCATGATATTAGAATGGATGTGACTTCTGGGAAAGTCCCTTTTCCTAGCAGAGGCACACTTCAAGTTTCGGACCTGTGCAGTGAGAAATCCAGTAGAGCCCAGAAGCTGGGCACAGCAGAGCCCAGAAGCTTGGCCCCCTATCTTAGGCTGGTGGGAAAAGGAAGGGACCCAATCAATGTCCAGGGCTTGGGATCCTATTTTCTTGCTATACCACAAACACATAACTTAGTTACTAATGCAATACTTTTCTTTCATTGGTATTGGGTCTAACTAAGAAATGAGTGTAGCAACTGAACATGACCATTCAGAAAGACATTTAGGAAAAGCTTAATGAAAAAAATCCAGTAGCACTTTATCATTAATGAAAACGACAGAAAAGTATAACCAGCTTATCTGGCTGATAAAACAATGGAAATAAAGTGCTAAAAACCTAATTGCTTGGGTTTTATTTCTAAATCAATCATCAATCTGCTTAAGATTTCTTTTATACATCTGGTATTTATTTATCTATTTGTACCAAGAACTAAATCCAGTAGTGCTATACCACTGAGCCACATCCCCAGTCCTTTTAATTTTTTCAGACAAGGTCTTTGTTAGGTTCTACCACTAGGTAGTAGCTTTACCACCGATAAACCCTCAGAACCAAAAGTTGCCCAAGCTGGCCTTGAGCTTGTCATCCTCCTGCTTTAATCTCTCAAGTAACTGGAATTATAGGTGTACGCCACTATACCCAACTTCTCTGGTCTTTACTTTTAGGAGACACCTCTTCTCTTCCCCACACTTTTTGACATTTGATCTTTCAATCTAAATATTTTTTTATTAAAAAAAATTTGTAGTTGTAGATGAACAGCATTTTCTTTATTATCATCTTTTTTAATTTTTGTGTGGTGCTAAGGATTGAACCCAGTGCCTCATACGTGCTAGGCAAGCACTCTGCCACTGAGCCCCAACCCCAGCCCTCAATGTAAAATATTCTTAGAAAATAAACCAGTATTGATTAAGTTCATAATAAATTTTATAAGAAGAAAATGCTGTTATTTTCTAATGTTTGGAACAGTAGTCAGAAAATAATAAAATGACAGGAACATTTACAAATGTTGAAATTATTTACTGAGCTATGAATTCTTGGCAGAGGAAAGGATGTTTGAAGTATCCGAATCCACCTATTACAGAAAACAAGAATGAATTCTAGAATGCCTCTCACAGATTTAACCAGTCTCTTCAAATCCTTCCCAAATTTGATGCACTTCATCTCAAAAAGAGAACAAAACCCATTTTTAAATCACTTAAAAGAATAAAAAAATAGGATTAGAGAACAGTCACATCCTTGAAGCAGCTTTGCAATATGCAGAACACAGTACTGGCTTCAAAAAAATATAGATTCTGTGCACTTGCATTACTTAAATGTGAAGAGCTGCCATCCTCTTCCTTTATAAAATTAGGAAGCTATATTCATTCAAGCACATTAACTTCATTGTACTTCATATAGTTTATACTTGGAATGAGGCTGGAAAAAAACAATAGCACAGAGCTGTTAAAACAACTTTAAAACATTAATTATTGTGAAATAGGATCAAATGAAAATCAACCTTGGATTAACACATTTCTGATTACATAAATAAGTTACTTTCTTTACTAAAAATTTCCGCTATCAGAAGATCCTGATTAAAATAAAGAAATATATAAAACTGGAACAGGAAGTAAAAGTGATTGATTGGTTCATCTCAGAAAGTCCACTGGCCCAACTGCCAGCCACAGAAGTCTCTAAGTTCTCAACGGAGTGTGACCAGTTCTTCTGAAGAGGTAGGATGAATGGCAACCGTGTTGTCAAAGTCAGCCTTAGTTGCTCCCATTTTCACTGCAACAGCAAAACCCTGCAGCATTTCATCACAACCAATTCCCTGCATATGGATCCCAACCACCTAAGGAAAGAAGAAATTATGAAAGAGAAATTATTTATTTGGTGTACAGTCATGAGAGGAAATATGACATTAAAAAATCCTATAGGCTGGGTGTGCAGTGCAGTGTGCTTGCTTAGCATGCATGAGACCCTGATTCTATCCCCAGCATGGCAAAAACTAAAATGAAACAAAAAACCTAAACTTAGATTTTTAATCTTTTTTTTTTTTTTTTTTGTGGTGCTAGGGATTGAACCCAGGGCCTTGTGCATGTGAGGCAAGCACTTTACCAACTGAGCTATATCCCCAATCCCTCAGAATATTTTTAATCCTAATTTGGCATAGCACTGTGACCCTGGACAGGCCTGCTTCAATGTCCTCCTCGAGCCCATATCAAACAGCTATTCCTCAGGTTCTCATCACTCTCTCCCATGTACCAACCATGTTCTCTTTTGCACAATGTGTCCCTCTGTTTGTTCTCCCTCTCTTAAGAGCTAATGATTAAAATAGCCATAGAGTAGTGTCTTTCAGACTAAATTATATTCCATCGCATGAACTCTCAGTGCCAATAGTTCTCTGTCATGGTCCTATCATAGTCAGAATTTAACCACTACTTGAAGGGGATCCCTTCTGCTTCTGCTCCCCACTCTATCCCCATGGCTCAACATAATGATGGCACTTGGGAAGTACTCAATCCAAATATGCTGTTTGGCTATGTGAAGGATATGTGAGCATTTGTTTCTAATCAAATTTCACCATGAAGTTTCTCAATATGTTGTCTATCTTCAGCAAACAGTTCTATAATATATTTATCATTCCATTAAAAAGCAAAAATTAGCTGGGTGTGTGTGGTGCTGCACACCTGTAATCAACAACTCAGGAGGCTGAGGCAGGAGGGTCATAAGTTTGAGGACAGTCTCAGCAACTTAGCAAGACTCTGTCTCAAAAAAAAAAAAAAAAAAAAAAAAGGCTGGAAATGTGGCTCAGTGATAAAGCATCCCTGAGTTAACTCCCCAGTACCAATTTGGTGGGGTGTGGGAGAGAATACACTTAACACTACTGAACTGTACACTTAAAAATGGTTGAGATAGGGGCTGTGGCTATGGCTTAGCGGTAGCACACTCGCTATGTGTGAGGCACTGGGTTCAATTCTCAGCACTGCGTATAAATAAATAAAGTTCTATAAACAACTAAATGGTTAAGATGTAGACCAGCTCCACTGGCAAAAAATAAGTTGCCTACTTTAATCCTTATACAAGGGTAACTGAAATAACCTAATGTTAACTAGTTATTTTCCTATTATCTGTCTCCCCATCTCTGTTTCACAAGAAAAGTAATTTTGAAATGAACAATATGGTTTTTGTTCTTTGTTTCTATTTTCTTTAGCCTTTGTCTACAAAAGTCCAACTTATAGGAACTCTCATTCTATTTTATGGAACGAGGTATTACCTGATTCTTGATTAAAATATAAAGCCAATTAAGTTAGTTTTTTTTAAAATGTATTTCTAATTATAGATGAACACACTACCTTTATTTATTTATTTTTATGTGGTGATGAAGATCTACCCCAGTGCTTCACATGTGCTAGGCAGGTACTCTACCATAGAGCTACAACCTCAGCCCCAAATAAGTTTTTTTTTAAAAAAATTATTAAGATGGTTTGTGTATAAATTTAAAACAAAACAAAACAAAATCCCAAATCAAATATCATGTGTGCATTAAACAGCAAGGTCTGCTAAGATCCAACTGATCTTACAAAGAGTCTCTGGTAATGGCAGGAACCTCATATATTCTGCCTCTCCATATTGCAGGTCTTACTTAGTCTTTAGAAGACTGCCAAGTAATACTCATCAAATGAATGAATGAATGATGGCTGACATGAGGAAATAACTTATATAACAAGATAAACAGGGATCCTGCTGACCAATATCAAG